CTCTCTGGCTCCTTGACTTTTTAGGGGGGGCGTTTGGGCCACACTCAGTGGTACTCTGGAATCACTCCTGGTGGGGAGCCCTTTGCGGTGCCGTGGAATCACAATAGGTTTGGCTGTGTGCAAGGCTGTACTCTCCCTCTACACTCAACTTTTTCTTCTAAGCAACTAAAACTTTTGTTTTGATTTGGGGCCACACCTGGCTATGCTCAGGGACTGTTCCCCCATTCTGTACTCAGGAGTCACTCCTGGCAATACTCAGGGGACCAATTCAGTGCTGGGGATTTAGACTAAGGTTGGCCACATCAAGGCAAGCAACTTATCTCCAATTCTATTTCTTTGGCTCATTAAATATATATTTTATATGTAAAATACACATATGTGTATATATACACAAATATATATATATTTAGGAATGGAATGATAGTACAGCACACACAGCCGATCTGAACTCTATCCCTGCACCCCTCTCTCCTCCCCTGAGCCCCTCCAGGAGTTATCCCTGAGCACTGCTGAGTATGGCCTCCAAAATAAAACTATTAAGAGAAAAGCAATTTTTTGTTGTTGTTTTGGACCACACCCAACTGTGCTTAGGGTCCCAGCGGTGCTCAGGGCTCTGTAGTCAGGGATTACTCTGGAGGGCTCGGGGGATCCTATGGGGTGCCAAGGATCGAGCCTGGGTTAGATATATGCAAGGCAAATGCCCTCCCCACTGTACTATCATTCTGACCCATGAACAACAACTTTTAATGTCTCACATGAAACTCCAACATACAGGCTGGGGTGATGGCACAAGACTCCCCAAGTTTGATCCTTAGCATCACATACCATCCGACCCCCAGCGCTACTAACTGTAGCCCTGGCATCCTCCAGCGTAGCTGGGCTCAAGCAACAACATGTCACCAGTTCAGACACTGAACAGGCTGACCTACACAGCCAGTACAACTTGATGGAGTATCACTGGAAATATTCCCCAGGTTCCCTATACAGTGCTCAGGAGCACATGAAAACAGACACACACACACACACACACACACACACACATGCACACACAACACAAACACATGAAAAGAAAAAGTTGTAAAACCACTCAAGTGGTCAGAGAGCCTCATCTTTGGTTTTTGTTTTTGGGTCACACCTGGCAGTGCTCGGGGCTTATTCCTGGCTCTACATTCAGTGATCAATCCTGGTGGGGCTCAGGGGACCCTGTGGGGTGCTGGAGATCAAATCCGGGTGAGCCACATGCAAGGCAAGTGCCGGCCCTGCTGTACTATTGCTCCAGCCCAAGGCTTCACTTTTGGAAGCAGAGTGGCATGACTTCCCTCCTTCCCCCAGTGTCTTTGGCATGCCCTGTGCTGCGCACTGCCAAGGGACCCTGGCACCCATGTGACTCTCTCTGCTACGTTGTTCTGAAGGTATAAAAGGGGAACCATTCCCTTCAGGTGCTTGAGGAAAACTTTATTTAAGAAGGGCCTGGGGAACATGTGGGATGTTCTAGGAGAGAAGTTCAGGAATAGGAGAATGTGCAAAGGCCCTGAGATGTGTGTGTGTGTGTGGGGGGGGGGGGGGGTTCTGGAGAATAAGAGGAAATTGTGTTTAGAGCCCCTCCAGGAAGACAAAGACTTGCTGGGTAGATGGGTAGAAACAAATTGAATGTAAATGTTCTTCTAAAGAGAAGGCACCAGAATATCTACCCTGGAAGGATTTAGGGCCAAACTTTGGGTTAGAGGATTAGGTTAAGCTAGAAAGATGGTTCACTAAGTAGAACAGGCACAGCAGGGAGGGCGATTGCTTGCATGTGGCCAACCTGGGTTTGATCCCCAGCACCTCATATGGTCCCCCAAGCCCTCCAGGAGTGACCCTTGAGTCAGAGCCAGGAAAACCCTGAGCATCGCTGAGTGTGGCCCAAAAAAAAAACAGAAAAAGAGTTCAAGCACAGGATTTGCATGTGGCAGCCATAGGTTTGGTCCCTGGCACCGTATAGTCCCCTGAGCACTGCAGGAAGTGAGCATTGGCTGGAGGGATGCCCAGGTACCCTCAAGAGGAGAAATAAATAGAGTCCAGGCAGATGATCAAATGGCTAGGGAGCATCCTTTGGCATAACCCAGAGTCTTGGTTCTGTCGGTTCCCTGGTAATGCATGATCCTATAAGCATAGCCATGAGTAGCCCTGAGCACTGCTGGGTGTGGTCCAAAAACAAAAAAGGAAGAAAAGAAGATCAGGGTCAGAGTAATAGTCAGCAAGGAGGGTGTTTGCCTTGCATACAGCTGACCGGGTTCAATTCCAGCATCCCATATGGCCCCCTGAGCCCCTCCAGGAGTAATTCCTGAGTGCTGAGCCAGGAGTGACCCCTGAGCATCACCAGGTATGACCCCAAAAGCCCAAACAAAAAAATCAGTGTCAGTTGTAATCTTGAGGCTAAAATACCAACTGAATGCTGCATTGCGCCCTGCACTGTCCTTGGGCCGAATGGTCCTTGGCTGCCAGCAGAGACAGCTAACAAAGAAGGGCCAAGGAGGAGCAGAATTGCTGCCCGTTCTGGAGCCCTGGGACGGCCAGGCGGGCAGTGCCCTTGCACTGTGCCCTCTGTGCCTTCATGTCCTCTTGGTGAAAGTGGAATTCCTGGGACTGGGATGATAATACAGCGGGGTGTACTGAGTGCAGAGCCAAGAGTAAGCCCTGAGCACTGCTGGGTGTGGCCCCAAAATGAAAAAGTGGAGCTCATTCCCTCCAACCCCCAACCCCCAGCTCCCTGGAGGTGGGGGAGAGCGTGTGACTGCATAGGCGGGAACCTGAGTTCCATCCTGACGCCTTCCACCACCGCCCACCAAATCCCACAGAACCTCAGCACCGCTCCAGAGAACAGCCCTCACTTCTTCCCCCCACCCCTTAGCTGCTTCCACTGAGCGTCCATCACCTCTGGCCTGGATGTGGCAGCCCCTGCTCTGCACCCCTAGCTCTTGCTTGCACCCCTTGCTTCTCAAAGTCCATCCCCTTGGGTCCATCAGAGGGATGGAACCCATGCCAGTCACATTCCTCTACTTAGCACCTCCTCTGCTGCCCCCAGAATTAGCATAAGAGCCTGAGACCAAGGAGGAAGGTGCTTGGGGGTGGGGTGGGCCATAAGCCCACCTCGTTCGGTCCTTCCCCGCTCCCCTCCTCTCTTACACAACCTCTTCATCACTTTCCAACCACCACAGCTCACTCTACCCCAGGGCCTTTGCACTGGCTCCCTTCACCCTCCGTAGTTGAGCACAAGGTGTTATAGGCATTCAGAGCATGGACCAGGATGGGCTATCTCAGGCCTGTCTCCTACCAGCTATATGATCTTGAACAGCTTCTTCACCTTTGTTTCCTCATTTATAGAATTTTTGTGGGGGTAACGGGGTAAAGGATGCTAGTGATTCTGGGGCCTAAATGTACATGCAAGGGCTCAAGCCCTCAACCTCCAAAGCATGTACTTGCCAGGTTGAGCCACCTCCCTGGCCTCAGAATGTTTCCCTTCTGGACCACAAACAGCTGTGCTGGTGGAGCTTGGGGCCCCCTGTGCACGGTGCTGGGAATCAAGCATGGTCCACTCTGAGCAAGGCAAGTGCCTTACCTGATGTACTATCTCTCCAGCCCTGTTTTCTCTCTCTCTCTCTCTCCCTCTCTTCCTTCCTTCCTTCCTTTTTTTTCTTTCTTTCTTTCCTTTCTTCCTCCTCTCTCTCTTCTTTTCTTTTTAGTTTTTGAGCCATACCTAGTCATGCTCAGGGCTCACTCCTAGCTCTCTGCTCAGGGATCATTCCTGGCAGGCTCAGTGGACCATACGAGGGGCTAGGGATCAAACTTGGGTCAGCCACGTGCAAGGCCCTTCTTGCTATGTACTATCGCTCTGCCCCGTCTTTTTTTTTTTTTTTGGGTAAAGTACTTCCCTTATATGGTCCGCGTTAAAATGACAAGCACTCTTCTTTGGGAAGTGCTAAGCTGAGTCAGACCTAGCAGAAGTGTTGGCTCAGCAGTGATGCTGTCCCCTGTATCCTTCTGGACGTCTGGCCCCATCGCTCAATTTCCCTCCACAGCCATTTCTGTCACCCCACATCCTTTGTGGGTTTTTTTTGTGCTTTCCACGCTAGGACATAAAATACACAGCTTGACCCCGTTGGAAACAGGTAGCTGAACCAGCTTTTGGCTGAATCACTCTCAACCTTGTCTGCCCTCCTGGGGCAGGCGTGAGGTCTGCCTTTTTGGTGACTGGTGGAAGCGTTGCCAAGCATGTAGACTGGAGCTGGGGTTTGTGGCTAGGAGGAGGGAAGGATGGACAACATTTGTTTTCTCTCTCTCATGCTCTCTGGCATTTTTGGATCATACCTGGTGATGCTCAGGGGTTATTCCTGGCGCTGCACTCAAAATTACTCCTGGGTAGTGCTCAGGACCATATGGGATACTGGAGATCAAACCTGGGTCAGCAGTGTGCAAGGCAAACACCCTACCTGCTGTATTATCCCTCTGGCCTCCTTCCTTCCTTCCTTCCTTTTTCTTCCTCCCTCCCTCCCTCCCTCCCTCCCTTCCTTCCTTCCTTCCTTCCTTCCTTTTTCTTCCTCCCTCCCTCCCTCCCTCCCTCCCTTCCTTCCTTCCTTCCTTCCTTCCTTCCTTCCTTCCTTCCTTTTTCTTCCTCCCTCCCTCCCTCCCTCCCTCCCTTCCTTCCTTCCTTCCTTCCTTCCTTCCTTCCTTCCTTCCTTTTGTTTCATTTTGTTTTAGGGCCACACCTGGCGATGTTCAGAAGTTACTCTGGCTCTACATTCAGGGATCACTTCTGGAAGTGCTGGGGGTGGGGGCATATGGGGGCCCTTCAAAGCTTGGTTTCTTTTCCTCCTCCCTCTCCTCATGCTCCAACATGTTCCCATGACCCAGTGGGGTCCTGGGTCCACTCCATGCCTGTGGCTCCCTGGCTGGTGGGTGGCATCCAAAGATAGAGAACCCTCAGGGCTGACTGATCTCTCTCCGGTTGGTGTGCCCCACAGAGGAAGGCGAATACTTCCTGAAGGTGCTGATCCCCAGCTACGCCGCGGGCTCCATCATCGGCAAGGGCGGCCAGACCATTGTACAGCTGCAGAAGGAGACCGGAGCCACCATCAAACTCTCCAAGTCCAAAGACTTTTATCCAGGTGAGTCCCAGTCTGGGTCCTCAGTGAGCGGGCAGGGCGGCCCCAAGGCTGGTGCTTACCAGTGAAGGGTGGGGGAGAGGTGGGGGAAGGGTTTCCCTCCCCAAGTGGACAGCACTGCCCTCAGCCCCAGGGCCCAAGCCTGGAGCAGATGGGCGGGGTGGAGGTAGGGCCAGACAATGGGCTGCTGCATATTCATGAGCTCATTTGCATGATGCGCTGGCAGATGTGCCCCTTCCCACACACCTGCCTCTGTGGGGCGGGGGAGGGGAAGGAGAGGCAGGAGGCAGGTGTCAGAGTGTCCCTTGGGGTTGGAGGGAGGCAGCCATCCGCGTCGTGACACCCTCCCTTTCTGCTCTTTCCCTTTGCGTCTGTCTGTCCCTCTGTCTGTCGTCCTCCTGGTGGGGGGGGAACGAGGCTTCCTGCTGACTCCATCCCTTCTTCTCTCCACAAACACACTCTGCTCCCACCACTGTCTCTGCTCCTGGGCTTCTCTTTCCTCCTCTTCTCTCTCTCTCTCCTCTCTCTGTCTTTCCTTTCTGTTCTCTCATTTCCCCATCTTTTCCTCAATCCTCTCCTCTCTCTCTCTCTCTCTCTCTCTCTCTCTCTCTCTCTCTCTCTCTCTCTTCTCTCATCTTTATTTTGTTTTTGTTTTTGGGTCACAGCCAGCGGTTCTCAGGAGTTACTTCTGGCTCTGCGCTTAGGGATCACTCCTGGTGGGGCTTGGGGGGACTGTATGAGGTGCTGGGGATTGAACCTGCGTCGACCACAGGCAAGGCAAAGTGCGTTCTCTCTCTGGCCCTCTCACTGTCTTTTTGACCAGGACATGGAAGCAGCCCTCATGGTGCCTGTCTGTTCAAGGACACCCTAATTTCTGTCTGCTGCGACTCCTCCGTCTCTCCCTTTATTATTTCATCTTTCTCCAAAGTCTTGGTTCCCCCAGGGGGAACCATCCCCCATCCAAAGCTGACTCCTTTATCATGCCTTTTCTCCAGCTATTAAGTACACACACACACACACACACACACACTCACACACACATTTTCCAGAGGTCCTTGGTCCTTGGGGTCCCTCTCTGTCTCCTTCCTGACCCCCTTCCGAGACCCCCTGCCTGAGCTTGGACACCAGGAATCCCTGGGACGCCCCTGGATCTCGTCTGCCCTGGAGCTGGTTTGAGCTCATCCTTAATCCCTTTGGATTATTGTAGGCCAAGCCCCCATGCTGTAGCCTGGCTCAGGACACTCATTTTTATTCTCTCTGTCCCCCTACTCCCCTCCCATCTCACTAAGCAGCTTTGGCAAGAGGTTTTATGGAAAACACAAAGATCCAGAGAACCAGGCACACACACACACACACACACACACACACACACACACACACACACACGCCCTTTCTCTTCCTGGGTCAGTTGCCCGCATTCCACCCCTTTAGCCCCTGAATACTTGTGAGCCCTCTGCTTGGCGCATTCCTCCAAAAACACTTGATGCCTCACCCCTAAGTCACGGTCTGTGACATGAGCAGTGACATACCCCCCCAGGCCAGAGTCACACCCCAAGGTGAGGCAGCTGAGAACCCCGCTGAGGAAGGGACAGTCTTTAGCTCTCCTGGGCCTGACTCTATTTACACCCACAATGAGAGGTCCCCCACTTCTGTTGCAGATCCTGCAGACTGTCTTAGAGAGCCCCCCAGCATCTTAGTGCTGTCCCCAACTTCCTGGGACCCACAGGAACACGGAGATGTGACTGCTTGGGCCAAAGAGAGTATTTCCCTCTGCCCCTGACTGACATCCTTACACCCTTTCAGCCCTTCAGTGACCAAGACACCTTGGTCTGTTTTAATTTCTTTGCTTTTTTTGGACTACACCAGCGATGATCAGGGGTTCCTCCTGTCTCCACACTCAGGAATCACTCCTGGAGGTGCTCGGGGGACCATGTGGGATGTCAGGGATCGAACCGGGATTGGTTTCATGCAAGGCAAATGCCTAACCTGCTGTACTATCACCCCAGCCCTCATGCCACTCTTCAGATGTCTGAACCCTCCTGGAGAGATGGATAAAATGTCAGTGATCTGCAACCCAGAGGGGTTAGCTCTGGGGCAGGGAAGCCCCCAATCCCATCTGGGGAGGTCAGGAAGGAGAAGGTGCCCAGGATGATAAGAGTAAGCTAGGCCCGAAGCGTGAGCAGGACTGCGGTGATATCTGAGAGGGGCGTAAGGCCATAAGTTTGATCCCTGGCACTGCCAAGTATGGCCCTGGTGACCCAGACACCACTGGGCACCAGCAGCATTGCTTCCAGGGACTGAACCTGGAACTGCCGGGCATGGTTGGCTGAGTCTCCCCAGGAGTGACCCCCCCAGCACTATTTGGGAGGACTCTAAATACATATTTCATTCATTAATTTATTTTGAGGCATTTAGGGGGCCATACCAGATGGTGCTCAGGGCTTATTTCTGGTTCTGTGCCCAGGGGGATCATTCCTGGTCAGGTTTTGGGGGGACCCCATGAAGTGCCAGGGATTGAACCCAGGTCGGCCACGTACAAGGTGAGTGTCCTGCTTGCTGTATTATACTATTCGGGGACTTGGGCCCCTGAAATTTATACAGTTTTTAAAGACCCTGAGAGAACCAGAGCAATTGTATAGCAGGGAGGGGTGCTTGCCTTGCACACAGCTGACCCAGGTTCGATCCCCAGCACCCCATATGGTCTTCTGAGCACTGCCAGGAGTGATCCCTGAGTGCAGAACCAGGGGTAACCCCCAACATCACTAGGTATGACCCCAAAAAACAAATAAAAAGTGCTTGAGGGGTTGCGCAGGGGATGTGGCTCAGTGGTCTTACAGATCCCGAGCTTGTGCAGTGCCCTGGGTTTGATCCCCAGCCCATATGCTCCCCACCCAGCACAGCCGGATGTGGTGACCTCTGCAACAATAAACAAAGACCACAAGGGGCCCCCCCGGAAGAGGAAATAGCATGTTCAAAGGCTGGGAGGATCGTTTGTTCAGTGCGACTTGTGCATAGAGAGCAGAGACTTTGGAATGGTGACATGGGCATGCCCTCTGCAAGCCCTGGGCTCATACACACACACACACACAGAGTCACACTCACACTTAATATAGACATTCACACACACATTCACAAGCACATGAATCAACAGAGCTACACACACGCTCATACCTACATACCCAACATACATTCACACACGTACATATTCACATACAATACATGCACTTGATAATACTGCACATTTACATACAGTACACCCACATACATACATTCACACGTGATTCATGCTCAGGCACACGTACACACGTATAATATACACGCACACTTCGCACAAATGCATCACCGAGGAACACAATACACGTGCAGATGCATCTCATACACACCTGAAAAAGCATACATGTACACATTCACAACATCTGCACACGTGCACCCACACTCTCACAGCCCCCGGTGCAGAAAGAAACCTGGATCTCTCAGCACCAGCTGAATGAACGTGGGTGGAGCCCCCACAACTCTGTGCCTCAGTGTCCTCAGCCGGGAGGCAGGAATAACAGCCCTGCTCACCTCCTTGGTGCAGCACATCCAGAGGCTGGGACCTAGTGCTGGGTGTTATGTAAACACCAGCTGTTGTACTGGACATTTTTCCCAGTTCTCTGGGACCCCTCCCCCAAAATCTGTGTGTGTGGCCCCCGGTTAAGAGCTCTGTGTGCCTGCACTGGAGGAAGCCTCCAGAGGTGGCCAGCCTGGCTGTCCCAAGCTCTCCTTTGGGCCTCCCTCTCCCCTCACCCGTCCCCCTAGTTCCCACCCTGACCCACACCCCTTCCTATTTACACCCAGACACAGGCAGCTACTCGCTGACTCACTCTTGGCTCAGACTGAGCCATTGTTCTTGGGGGGGGGGGAGTAAGAGTGAGGAACGACAGCCTAGGGGAGATGGGGGGCTCTGTCAGCGGCACAGGTGACCCAGTGCCATGCTGACACCAGCTTACCCACTGAGAGGGCAAGCGAGGGCTCAGGGCCATAGCACGACCGTCTCTGCTGGGAGTCCCAGGGCACCAGACACTTAGTCCAGGTCCCAGACAGGCCCATGGGGCTGGCACACTCCCAGGATCTTTCAGACTCTGATGCTCACCGCTCTCTGCTGCAGACAGCCTGTCACCCCGGGACACACACACACACACACACACACACACACACACACATACACACACACACTTACCCAAGATGTGGCCAACTCACTCGGGCACTCACCTTCCCCTCAGCCTGTTCTGGGAGAGATGCCTCCGGCCATGATACACTCACAGACACACATCAGACACACATTCATGCAGACACACTGCATACTCCCACTCTCACACATTGACACACTCTTTCTCACACACTCATAAACACACACTCACACTCACACACACACCTCAGTTCTTCAGACTCCATCCATACCCAGTCCTGCCCATTGGTCTTTTTCTCATGTCCACAAACATCAGAGTCTTGTCTACTTCCTCAGATCACACACATCAGCCAGCAGTGTCTTTCATAGGCCCAGAGCGAGAGCACAGTGGGGAGAGCACTTGCCCTCCATCCAGCTGGCCAGGTTCAATCCCCACTACCCTGTATGTCCCCTGAGCACTACCAGGAGTGATCCCTGAGGGCAGAGGCAGGAGTAAGCCCTGAGCACTGCCAATGTGGCCAACTCTCTTTCCTACACACACACACACACACACACACACACACACACACACACACTTCCTCAATCTTAACACAGAATCCTATCATTGCACACCACCAGTGTCCATTGTCAAATGCCACATCCAGGTACCCTTCACACTCACACATGCTCCAGTTCAGACTCACAAATGGTCTTTATAGCTTTGATCATCACAGGGGTGCCCTCCCCAAAGCCCCCGCAGATCTTTCCGACAAGCAGGGGCTCCTCGCCAGCATCCAGACCAGAGTCCCTGTCAGGCTGCCTATCCTGAGCTCTGCTGTCCTGCACAGACCAGAGAATCTGGATAGCCCTGTCCACACAGGTGCTCACTGGTCTCCCAAACCACATCCCAAGCCTCCTGTCACAGTGTCACCCAGACTCTCCCGCATACACACCTTACAACACCCTCCAAGTCAGCTCGTCTCCCCCCCTGCCCACTCAAAGTAACAAAAAAAATGCCCAGATCTCCAATTTCTTTATTTTTATTTTTTGGTTTTTGGGCCACACCCAGTGGTGCTCAGGGGGTTACTCCTGGCTCTGCACTCAGAGATCATTCCTGACAGTGCTAAGGGGACCATACAGGATGCTAGGAATCGAACCCAAGTGGGCCACTTTCAAGACAAGCGCCTTACCCACTGTACTATCTCTCCAGCCCCATGATCTCCAATTTCTGGAGAATTTACTGCATCGGCACCCGCCCTCCCTTCTGGGTGCTCCCCCCATCTCCACTCTTCCACGAATTGCCTTTGACCCTCTCTGCTCTTCCGCCAGCACCCCGCCAGCCCCGCCCCCTATGGCTCTCCATCTGGTGGGTCCAGGCAGCCTCTAGACCTCTCTCCTGGCTCCCCCATCCCCCAACCCTTCTCCATCCTCTCCAAAAGCCTAGAGGCCTTCGCTGCAGGCTTTCAGGAGTTGCCATGGCAACAGGGCCTCGTCCCTCGTCCCCCTGGGGGTGGGCTGAGGACCCGGCCAGCCAGACCGATAAGGGGGTTCCAGTTACTGTGGCAACCGCTGCAGTCCTGAGCTCTCCATTCTAGAAGGAAGGGGGGAGCGACTGAGTGAATGGTTGCCAAAGCAACCGGGAGCCAGCCAGCGCGGAGAAGAGGCAGCTGAGCCCTGTCTGCCCTACCCGGGCTGCTGTGGGCATCGCAAAGCACTTAAGCATCATTCTTCCATCCCCTGGGGTGGTTCTTGGGGAGGGCCATGAAGTACAGATTGCCAAACAGCCATGCCACACTCTCTCCCAGCTACCCAGCCTGGGCCTGGGAGCCCCTGCCAGCTGGCCTGGGGCTTCCCTGGTGATCTGGGGCTGTCAGTCTGCTGTGTGGACCTCTGTTCTCTTTTCCATTAAATGGGGCCTCTCTCTAAAGAGTGTCCCCATTCCTGGGGGCTGGAGCAATAGCACAGCAGATGAGGCATTTGCCTTGCATGTGACTGACCCGGCTTCAATCCCTGGCACCCTTTAGGGTCACCTGTGCACCACCAGGAATGATTCCTGAGCACAGAGTCAGGAGTAAGCACTGAGTACCCCTGAGTGTGACCCCAAAACCAAAGGAAAGAAAGTGTCCCCATTCCTGTGTGACATTTGCCCTTTCTCCATTGTTCAACAGGAACGACAGAGCGAGTATGCCTGGTGCAGGGCACGGCAGAGGCCCTGAACGCTGTGCACAGCTTTATAGCCGAGAAGGTTCGAGAAATCCCACAAGCAATGACCAAGCCTGAAGTGGTCAACATCCTTCAACCCCAAACCACGATGAACCCCGACAGAGCTAAGCAGGTCAGCACTGGGTTTCAGTGGGACCCTTACTCTCATTTTTGGCAATCAAATATATAGTCCTGGTTACTGTTGTTGGGGAAACAGCCCAGGGATGCGCTTGTGGCAGAGAGTGATGGTGAATTAGGGTCTTAGCCCCTTAATTTATTCCTCCATCCGGGGATTCTCTAGGTCCTCTCCTTCCATTTCACCCCATTGTCTCTGAGCAACCTACTGTCATTTCCTGTACCCCCAGAAGTGACCTCAGTGACAGCCAGGCCCCAAACAAATGGGCCCAGCAATGGCCTCTAAGACTCCCTTTCTCTGGGAGTCAGAGCGGAGCCACCACTAGGGAGACATGGGATTTTCGTTCACGGTAGAGAAGGTGGGGCAGGTGCTGCGCCTGCTTTGCCCTCTCCAGGAGGGAAGGAAAGGAGGAGGGCAGCCCCGTACCGGTTGCCTTGGTTACAGGGAAGCTGTGATGATGAAGGGGCGTGGCAGAGAACGGACCAATGGCTGCCGGGTCCTCTCCAGTTGCCATGGCCACCGTGCGCACGGGGGCAGGTGGGCTTGCAGCGAAGCCCCCGGCAGCCCTGCCCTGACCCAGATAGGGGGCAAAGATGCGGGGGACGCAGATCTGGCTGCGCACTCTATCCCCGTCCTGGTGCCGCGCAACGGGAGGAGATGCCCCCAGCCCTGGAGAGGCACCCCAGAAGCCACAAGAGGGCCCTGGTGAAAAGGAGATGGAATTTCAAGGAATCCTTGTTGCCCGTAGGAAGGATTTAAATGTCCCACCCCCAGCTCTGAGAGAAACGGTGGTCGAAAGCCCCTGCTAGAATGCTGCTCTTTAATTGGTGGGTTTCCCCAAAACGGCCGAGGGCTCTGGGCGGAGCGGGGCCGCTGTCCGTGGTGCTGAAGCTTGCACGCTGCGGCCCCAGTCCCGTCCCCGCCTTGGGTTCCAGGGCAGCCTTGCCTCCTCCCATTGCCTTGGTAGCGCCCACGACGGGACAGGGATCTTTGAGAACTTGCACGTGTCGCAGGGAAAATGGGGTCAACACCTAAGCCTGAGCCTCTTGCCCCCTCCCCTTCTCCCCCCAGCAATCCACAGTGACTGGCGTGGAATGACAAAAGCAGGATTTGTTCCCCACCTTATCACCAGCAGGTTAGAGTTTCAGAGGTGGGGTACTGAAGGGTCAGGTTCATGAGTCAGATGTTGAGTTGATTCTTACTCTGATACTTCTGACCTCTCTGCCCCTAGGCATGTGGCCCCCTGTGGACTCCCCAGGATGTTCCAAAGGGGATGCAAATGAAAAATCTTATAAAGGGTCTCATAGCATGAGACTTGGGGGGGAAATTGATAGGATGGGGTGGAGGGTACAGGAAGTAAGCAGAGCCACACATGCGCCACAGTCAGAAAAAAAGATTGAGAAATGTCGCTTTAGATTGAGTGATTTTTTTGTTGGGGGGATTGTTTTTTGGGCTACACTCGGCCGTGCTGAGGGCTTACCCTGGCTCTGTGCTCAGGGATTACTCCTGGAGGGGCTTGGGAGAACATCCGGGGTGCCAGGGATCAGACTCAGGTTGGGGGTCTGGATCAATAGCACAGCAGGTAGGGCATTTGCCTTGCACACAGCCAACCCGGGTTTGATTCCCAGCATCCCATATGGTCTCCTGAGCACCACCAGGGGTGATTCCGGAGTTCATGAGCCAGGAGTAACCCCTGTGCATTGCCGGGTGTGACCCAGAAAAAAAACTATTATTTGGCGCCAGAATAAGTGATTTGGTGTTTCTCTTAATCCCAAATGAGAAGCTTTGTGTTAGCTGCCAGCAGGCAATGGTGAGTGGCCCAGGGTGTTTGAAAAGTCACCTGGTGCCTAGAAAGTTCTCAAGAAATGCTGTGGTCCTCTTGGTCCTTTTGAGTGCAGAGACTCCCTGCCTGTCTCCCTGGGCTGGCTTTGTTACTCTGAGGTCCCTTCAATTCTGTGAGCTTCAGTTTCCTTTTCCTGGCAGTGTGGACACAAGGCCAAGCCAGAGATGAGAAACTGCAACACCACTCAGGAAGGGAAGATGCCAGCTGGGGGCCCATGGGCCCACAGAGGAGAGACAGAGCCCTCCCCAGGGCAACTGCTGTGCAGCTCCACTTTGTTCTGGCCCTTAGGAATGTGGACATGGTATTTTCACATCTTCCCAGTATCTTAAACAAAGCCAGAGACATTAGAAATCAACTGATGGGGGTTTTATTGTTGTTTTGTGTTTTTTGGGGGGGTGGGGTATGAGGGAACAGAATCAAACCAAGGATGTATGCAAGGATGTATGCCCTACCACTTGAAACATGTCTGCAGTCCCTGAGATTAATTGCTTCACTTTCACACGTCAGCTTGTGCAGGTGCCCTGTGAAGTTTCTCTCTTTTGTTCCAGCTTTAGTGTATGTGCTGCCAAAGGGAGCATCAGTTGGTTAACTTTATTTAAAAGAATTTTGTTTTTGCTTTTGGGTCACACCCAGTGATGCTCAGGCATTACTTCTGGCTCTGCACTCAAGAATCATTCCTGGAGGTGCTCAGGAGACCCTATGAAATGCTGGGAATTGAACCACATAGATTGTGTGCAAGGCAAGCGCCCTACCCACTGGGCTATCTCTCCTGCCCCAACTTTTTAAAGACTTTTAGGGAGCCTTCTAAGTGGTGCCCAAGGGGGCTGGGGTCCAACACTAACAATATTCAGCCAACCAGGCCAAGGGGTTCAGTGCTAGGACCCAATGATATAGTGCCACTCGGGCCCTGCAGTGTCAGGATTTACCTGGGTCACCTGGTATTTCTGGAGGCCTCCAGGATTGCAGCTATTGATGCTCAGAGGGGACAGTGCTAGGGATTCAACCAGAATTGGCCATAATGGCCTTGCATGTACCCTGACCTCTATAATCTCCTTGAACCTGAAGTGAATTGTTTATGTTTTGTTTCTTTGGGGAGGGGTGTGGCTACACCCAGCTGCTGAGGACTTATTTCCGACTCTGTGCTCAGGGATCACTCATGGTGTGGCTCAGGGAACCTAATGGGGTGCTGGGGATCAAACCTGTGTTGCCCCTTGCAGGGCCAGTTTCTTCCCCACTGTGTTACCGCTCTAGCCCTGCTTTCACCATGTCTTGGGGAACACAGACACTTGCGCAGACTCCTTCTCGGGCTCTGTGGCACATGCCAGACCTCTCCTTACTCCTTACGCTGTTCTTCCCTCCCCCCACTAGTTTGCCCAACATTTCCTGCCCGGTAATTTTTGTGCTAGAGCGATAGCACAGCGGTAGGGCGTTTGCCTTGCACGCAGCCAACATGGCTGACCCCAGTTCGATTCCTCCGCCCCTCTCGGAGAGCCCAGCAAGCTACCGAGTGTATCTCACCCGCACAGCAGAGCCTGGCGAGCTACCCGTGATGTATTCGATATGCCAAACACAGTAACAACAAAATCTCCAATGGAGACGTTACTGGGCCCGCTCGGGCAAATCGATGATCAACGGGAGGGCCTTTACTTTACTTTTACTTTACTTAATTTTTGTGCTATTGGAGATTTGAGAGGCTCTTTTGGTTTTGGACCCACACCCAGTGGTTCTTGGGGGCTACTTCTAGCTCTGTGCTTGGGGGTTGCTCCTGGCAGTGCTCAGGAGACCACATGGAGTCAGGGATGAAACCTGTATGCAAAGCTTGTGCTCCAGCCCTTGAGCTACCTCTCTGACCCCTGATGTCTTTTGCGGGGATGGGGGAGAAGGCTCTCCCAAGTGGATTGATCCCAGCGATTCGATTCTAGCTAACCGGGCCTATGGGTCAGTTCCGGAATTCAAGGATGGGGGGTGGAGCAATAGTACAGCGGGTAGACATTTGCCTTGCACGCCTGACCCGGGTTCGATTCCCAGCATCCCATATGGTCCCCCAAGCACCGCCAGGAGTAATTCCTGAGTGCATGAGCCAGGAGTAACCCCTGTGCATCGCCGGGTGTGACTGAAAAAAGCAAAACAACAACAGAGGGACTGGAGAGGTAGTGGGTAGGGCGTTTGCCTTGCACGCGGCCAACCCGGGTTCGATTCCCAGCATCCCATATGGTCCCCTGAGCACCGCCAGGAGTTAACACCTAAGTGCAGAGCCAGGAGGAACCCCTGTGCATCTCCGGGTGTGACCCAAAAAGAAAAAAAAAACAGAATTCAAGGATGCCGTGCTGTTGAGGTGTTGAAGTGCCAGGGATCACTCACATTCCCCTCCCCGGAATACTCAGGGTCTCTGGGCCCCCACCAGACATTCCACTTCTGGTTCCCATGCCGGCCACTAGCCTAGTTTCATCTCCAGTGTCCAGGATGTGCTTTGTAGAAGTGGCCAGACAAGGGCTGGAGCAGGGAGAGGACTGGGAAGAAGAGTCCCATTAGCGATTGCAAGGTGACAAGGCCATTCAGCAATTGTTCTCTGGGTGGATGTGAGTCTGTGGGTGTCCGTGGGGGAATCTAGGAAATAAATCGAATGGTCTGATATTGTAGTGGTTAAGGAAGTCCTATCTGATATGGTGAGCAACAGCAGCAATGGAGTCTGCATTGGCTGGGGGTTGGGGGAGGCAACCACCCAACTCCTCACTGCCACGCCCCCTCAGGGTTACCACGCCCCCCTCCTCGGCGCTGCCACGCCCCCTCAGTGTTGCCACGCCCCCTCAACTCTGCAGCTCCCACTTCCCCATCCCATTCTTTCCCACGCCGGCCCAGCTCTGAACTCAGAGCAGTGATTTAGGACAGGACTGCTGCCTTCAACTTGTTCCCATCAGAAATGTAGTGCAGGTGAGTGCTGCCGGAAACACTTCGGTTTCACGATGTGGTGGATTTTGAAATCATTTTTAGTCTTTGATCATTCAGAAACTTTTTACTGGGACCATATAGTACAGTGGATAGGGCATTAGCTTTGCACATAGCCGAATTCAATCTTCAGTACAGGGTCCCCTGACCACCGCCAGGAATGATTTCTGAACACAGAGCCAGGTATAATCCCAGAGCATCGCTGGGT